TTTTTTTTTTTTTTTTTTACAGGGAAAAAAATCTTCTCGAAGTTTTTCACCATTTCGATCGTTTATAATTCTTTTACAAATCTTCGTTTTAAGAAGAAAAGTTTTATCATTAAAGAATAAGGGATATTAGATCATCGTTAAAAATTACTCTCCACCCTAATACCATATTTTTACATAGATATGAATAGAACGTAATTAAAATACCTTGGAGACTTTGGATTAATCGCAAGAATATTAATCACATCTTCGTGAAACGTACGTATAAACGTAGAATTGTCACGAGATTAATCAATCACCTTAAACGTATACCTTAAATACACCCAAGCAGTCGACAAATGAAATTCATCCAAAAATGAATTTCAATATCGTAATATAACAATAATACACACAATGCTTCGTAAAACGTGTTAAGTAATTAGTGTCATAACGAATAATACAAAGTATTAGTCATATATATTGTGCGAAAGAAATAGTATACGTAGTTAATACCGACCACCAGAAAAAAAGAAAGAAAGAAAGAAACAAACAAACAAAGAAGTGATAAAGAAAGAAAAATAATAGATAAAAATGAAGAAATCTAAAAGAATTGTAAGAAATACAGAATATACAGATCGTAATATCACAGTAATAATATACCTCGCAGTTAGTGATTATTATCAGAAATGAGGAAGAAGCTTAACCCTCTATTGCATTCCGTTCCCAATTGGGGGACTTAACTTAAATTTAACTTAAATTTAATATTATTATTAACTTAAATAATAATTTAATATAATATTAATTTAAATTTCAAAGGCAAAATACAGAGATGCACCCGTCAATGTTTTAAAAAACAATAATGCTGTTATTATTTATTTCACGACCACACTCATTTTAAAATGGACTAACAACCATTATATATTTTTTTCAACTCATAAAAATTCATGCAATAGAGGATTCTTAAAAAAGATTCTTTATTTTAAAAAAATAAAGAAATTTATTACGAGATATTTTATCATAAGAAAAATAGCATTAGCATCGTAACACGACGTGATACTTCGATGAAACGTGTTAGTAATTTAAAGTCACATCGAATACGAGTATTACGCATTGTGCAGAAGAATAACACCGCTCGTTGAAAAATAGAACATTCCAACCTTAGTTGGATAGAGAGGAAGAAGATTGACAAAAGTATCTGGTTAAAAAGAATATTAAAAAAAAAGAGCACGTAAAGTGGTATTTTTAGATGAATTTCGAATAGAGAGATATTACGAGGGAATCTGTCGTGATCGTTAGAGCGAAATGACGAAAAGTGGTTAGTTGAGAGAAAGAGAGAGAGAGAGAGAGAGATTGATTCTCCGCGGGTGGAAAGAGAATGATTGCAGAAGAGATTCGAGGACGGAGAAAATATGTCGTCCATGAAGCAAACCCCGGAGAGAAAAGAGGGGGAGGTGGAAGGGGAATTGCGAGAAATAACAAATGGAGAGAGCCACCGCGGACCGGAAGTACCGCTGTGAATACCTTGTACATCCCGTCGGCCGTTTTGTTGTCGTCGCGAATTTTTGGTAACGTTGCGACCCTGTACGAGTCTGAGCGGCCATGCTGTAAAAAATGAGATGATAAAAAAAACATGAGATGAGATATATGTAAAAAAAAAAAAACAGATAAAAATAATACAAAATAAATAATCGATGGGGGTGGGGTAGAATAATGGTTAATAAATAAATTAAATTAAAAAAATAAATAATCCTGGTGATTGGATTCGACGATCTGGTTTGTGATAACGTAATTTTCGAAATTCGTTCTTTCATCTCTATTTTTTTTTTTTTTTTTTAAATATTTCACGAGATGGAAATATTACATTGTTATTAAAGTCGAGTTACGTAGAATTTTCGAGGATACGGTTATATTTTAAGGGTATTCTCCTCTAAAAATTTACACATCCTCTAAAATTATAAATTTTAGGAATCTTTTTAGGATTCCATTTATTCTATTTGAAAATTTCAAAATTTTCTAGTTTACACGTCTGTTCAAAATTTCTAGAATTCTTGGAATAGAAAAATTGGTAATTTCACGAGTTTTATTCTCGTTAGCCTTCCATCCATTTTCGTTACCATATTGCCGCAATATATCTTGGAGCAATATTGTCGAAAAACAAACTGGTATCTATCAAACGATTTTCGATTTCGCGTTCGGGCGGCCACGTGTTGTTGAAATCGGTTATGAAAATACAGAGACGAACGAAATTAAGTTTTGGGAAACTTTAGGATGAAACGGCACGCTGGCCAACAGATTCAGATTCTAATTTTCGAGAGAACGTCCTCGATTCGTTCGCGTTTGGATAAACCGATCGTTTCCGGTTCGAAGGCGTGCCGCTGAAAATTGCTCCATCTCATATCAATTTCACGATCCTCGTGAAATTAATCATCGTTCTGCGAATGGGAATTGCGTATTCATCTTCCTCCTCTTTTCCAGAAAATTATGAATTACCTTGGAATCTAATTTCGATCTAATTTGGGAAAATTATATATATAGAAAATGAAATAAAGAAATGATATAAAGAAAATGTTAAACTTCGAGTATATAAAATATGGACCAGTGTTAAAATTTATTATTTATTATTAATCAAAAATATAAAATGATACGATTGAAATTATAATTAGAATTAAATTAAATTTAATTAAAACGCAAATTAAATTAGTTGAAACGGCACGTTGAGTAAACTTTTGGAATATAAATAATAGTCAAATAAAATTACGGGTAAATGGGAGGGTAAAAAACGAAGCTTGTTATTCTCATCCCTTTCCTTACCCATCTCGTATCAATTTATCGAACAATCACGGTTGTTTGCACGCGTCTCTGCGGAATTTAAATTAAATGTGGTGGTGTGGGACGACTCGGGGGAAACGAGAGGGAATATTCAAGAAACTATACTCGAGATGGTCTCTCGCCACAGTGAGAAGCAGACCGTAATCTCGTTTACTCGCGAATGTCTGAACGCATACAAATGACGTACTAACGCAACGATGAAATCTCTGAAACTTAAAGTGGGGTGGTTTTCGAGGAAGTTGAGAAGCGCCCCTTTCGATAAAAAGACAACGAAGAAAACTCAATTCGCATCCATATGCCTCTACGAGCATCTGGATACAATTTCTCAAATGGTTTCTTCTCTTGTCAATAGCCTTCTCTTTAGATTATCACAACTATTTTATAAATATTAAATACCACGCATATTATATTATAACGAAGAAATTTTCACGACGGTTAAACTTATCGTCTCGAATAATTATTAATTGGAGATTATTCTGTTCGTTTCCTTTTCCGAGAATGAGACGAATTATTTTCATGATTCATCAATTTTTGCATTATCCATTATTTTCAAATTATTTTCAAAGATCAATCGATGCATCTTCGAATATTTTAAACGAAAGCGAAAGTTTATCAATTTTGTGGAAGTTTTCGAAATGCTCGTGAATTTCGATGCAGAAAATGTTATAATCGATCGGTTGGATACACGTGTGCGCGCGATGCGATAATTGTCACTCGTTGCAGGAGAAGATTTTGCCTAGCCGCAGTGCAGTAAATTGTCTCGACCTCTCGTCGACTCGAAACGGTGATTGCAATACCGAACGTGTCGCGGAAATAAGTGAAATAGATTGGCGCGTAGCCAGTGGTTCTCGACGTCGAGGGAATCATATCATATTCGAGTCGATTCTCCTCGTGACTCGAATCGGATGTATCCCTTTATTTTCTTTTTATCGTATAATCCGATACGATTATTAAACGATCAGGTTTCAAGCGAACGGAATCGTCACATTGGAAAAATAATTTCTTTCCCCTCGAATATTACGTCAATACTATCAAATTGTTCCAAGAATCCCCTAATTCGTCTTCGCGAACGAATAAGCTATGATTAATGGAATTATTATACAAAATAATGGGAACAAAAATATTGGAAAAATATTGAAATTTCCTTTCCAATCTGAATTCTATTTTTAAACATACGATTAAAAATAATCATAATTTTACTCTTTATGAAAATCCTGATCCCAATATCGAGAAATCTCTTCGTACGTAATTTTTCTTCCAAACTGATCTCATTTTCCACCCGATCTCAAAAACTCAACGAAATTCAGAATGCAAAAAAAGTATCGATTCGATATCTTGAAAATCGTGATTTGGGGGGAGAGAAGCGTGGGCGAAAAATCACGAAAAATGGATGGAAGGCGAACGGACGTGGAGCGACGAATGCTCCTCGCAGCCTCTCTCTATTGATCCAAATGATACAGACACAAAGGTACGCGTTCGTCAACTCGATTTTAACAAGCGGTGTGTGTCGACTCTTGTTCCGTCGAAATAAATTGCCTCGGACAGCCGCCGCGTTGTGTCATGCCCTCTCCACCCGCGCTCCATGACCGATATTTTAATGCCCCCTCCCCCACGATGCGAATTTTTCAGTTTTTCGCTCCTTCTTTTACTCCTATCCGGTGTAACGTTCCTCGATTGAAATCGAGGCGTTAAAAGTTGTGTGTATCGTGTTTTTTTCTTTTTTTTTCTAAACTATTCGATCGCTCTTTAGGTATTTTTTTTTTTTTTTTTTTTAATTTAGATTATTCGCGTAATTTTTTTTTTTCTTTCCTTTTCTCTCTCTCGCGTCGTTCTCGCGTTTTATGTTTTCCCGTGTAATTTAAAACAATTTGATTGGAGTAATTGTGGATGATGATAATAATAATAATAATAGTAATGATAATAACAAGTTCCTGGAAATTGTCGTTATTTTAAGCTTGCTATGTTTAGATATACGAATTTTTAGGAATTTATTTGTATTGGAAGGAGGATGGTAACTTATTTTCTTTCTTTTTTTTTTTCGAAGAAAAAATAGGTCGATTTCCGCCTTTTTCCTTTCAGCAGATAATGATTTGAAACGGAAGCATGAAATATATATATATATATACACGTTGAAGGAACGTTGAAGGTCTAAAAGATTAAAGATTCGCGAATATTGGAGATGATTGAAGCGCGTGCCACGTGTCTGACTTTACGAGGCCTGATTCCACTTATACTCGAGGAACATGTTTCCGTTTAACGGAATATTAAACGAATAATTCACGAACCTGTTTACTCGAGTTTCCCTATTATTTCCTTCCAATCAATATCCCAATATAACTCGATCACGAATTCGATTATTATAATCAATAATGCAACCCCTCCATTCCAATCGAATCCTAATTAAACAATGTAAAAATTACGAAAATTATATATTATTTTCTAAAAAAAAAGAAAAAAAAAAGAAAAAGAAATTCAACAATCCATCAACGTCGCATCCAATTAAACGGTTCACACGAAATCAATCAATCTCTACTTAAGAAACATTTGTTACAATTTCATCGATAATCCATCACATCCCCGTTTAATCCCAACAAACTTTACACGGAAAAATTACAAAATTCTTCAATCTTGATTAATCTCGATTTCATCCCCCCAAACTTAAGAAAAATTTGTCGGAGAATTCAATCAAAAATCACAAAATTCTTCAATCTTGATTAATCCCAATTTCAAACCTGTCAACTTAAGAAACATTTGTTGCAACTTCATCGATATTACACAGACCCAACCCAGAGACTTTATTAAAAATTATAAAATTCCAATCCTTGATTAATTTCAATTCATCATTCTCTACTTAAAAAACATTTGTTCCAATTTCATCGATATCACGATCCATCAAATCCCATTTAATAACCCCAATAAAAATTTCATTAAAAATTACAAAATTCCAATCTCGATCAATCCCAATTCTTCAAACCTTAAAAAACATCTGTCACAATTTCATCGAAACTTACAAAATCAAAAAATTACAAAATTCTTCAATCCTGAAACGGAATCGACGAGCTCCCGAATATCGAATATCTCGACGAATATCTCTTACGAATATTTTCATCGAACACCATTTTCACGGATTCGATCGTTCGTATATATAATACATACCAATTCTCGTCCTTCCCCACATGTGTATGTAACGCGCGCGTATATGTGTGTGTAACGCGTACGTAACGAAATTGCATAATCGTGCTTCCTCAATGACGGGAACACCGTGTGACGATCAGAGATAATAACGCCGCGGAATTGTCGCGTTTACGCTCGCGCGCGCTTTCGAAGCGCGTGTAACGAAATTACCGGCTTTTTACGATCGGCAATGAACACGACGGCCGCCGATCGGGGCTGAACTTGCACGCACGCGCACGCGCATGCGCACACACTTTTTATCTAATCGTTGTGGAACGCATTCCGCAACGAGCGCGTCAACCCAGACCCGGTAACGGCTAATTGGGCCCCCACATTGGAATATTGAATTACCAGCGAATTATTCAGCGAGTTAAACGAGCCAGGGTTAAGACTATAAATTCGCTCATGCGGATCATTGTCGGTTTTCCACTGTGTTCGACTAAAATTTTCCTCTTCCTTTTCTTTCTCTCTCTTTTTTTTTTTTTTTTTTACTTAAGAGTTTTTCTTTTTAAGTTTCGAGCTTTCGAGAAGCTTTACTTGGAATCGTTTTGAAGTTTAATTATAATTTATCTTTCTTTTTATATTTTGTTGTTGCTTGA